TTAAAGGTGTCAAATAAGTCTTGGTTTTATTTTTGGTGATAGATTGACCAAGAGTTGATCAAATCCCTTTAAAATGTTATAAACTAAATTTGGGACCAAATTAACATTTCAAAAATTTTCTCAATGTTTTATAAAATACAAAAAGCACTTCATTTTTGAACTTTTATAATTCAATGCAAATAATTTTTATTTTTTTTAATCTTCTACCAATGTTCTCTCTCTCTCTCTCTCTCTTGTTCTTCTTCTTTTTCCTTTTCCAATCTTAAAATCCGACTAGACTATCCTCATTATCTTTCTCTTCCTCTCCGACTATCTCCATTATTTTCCTCCTCATCTCTAGTTGTGAGTCTCTTTTTTTTCTGAACTGAAACCTCAATCGACTTAAAATGAGTAAGTTATATCATCTTACTTATAGGTTTGGGCAACAAAATGGTCATGTGTGGTAACATAAGATTCATCTGTGGAAACATAGAATTCACCAGTGGCAACATAGAATTCATTTGTGGCAAAAATTGTTATATTTGTGTCAACATATGATTTACCTGTGGCAACATAAGATTTATATGGGGCAACTAAAATTTCATGTGTGGAAATAAAATATACATATGGGGCAATATAATGTTAATTTATGGTAACATACTATCAATCTGTGGTAACAAAACGTTAATATTATTTTAGACTTAAGTCATCGGTAGCCACTTAAAGTTGTCCGCAAATTTCACTTAGACACCTTTTCTTAGGCTTTTTCCAATTGAACACCTAGACAACAAAACTTTTTACCTATTAAACCCTTTTTGCTGACATGGCAAAGCGTTTGTAGTACACACAAAGAAATGAGCGTGAAAGCATAACTTTTCAGTTAAAAAAAAAGATTTTATGTCTTCTTCTTCTTTGAGAAAGCTCATCACCATTTTTCCATGGCAAGCTGCAACCATCACCGCTCATAATTCTGCAACTTTCACCACTCATAATTCTTTCTCCTTCTTTTTCAATTTTCAGCCATTCTTTTTCTCCAATACACCAGTTTATTAAACCGGTTGCTATCATCCATAAGTCTACCATTGTCAAACAACCAACTACACATTCAAATTACCCACCATAAGTTTTTCAGCCGTAAAAAATGTTATCTCTGCTGCCATCAAAAGTATCTAACCTTGTTCATCTATTTTGTCAAATTAAACCCAAACATAAATTAAATAAAAATCTTAAAACAAAAGAAAAACAAAAAAAGGAAGAAGATGAACATAGATTTCTTTCCTTTGAAATGGGATGTTAAGAAAATTTCATTAAATAAAGATTAAAAAAATTAAAGTGACGAGCAATTAGTGATCAATCATCTTTTTACATTACTTTAGTGTTCATTATTTCCGACAAACTCCATTTTTTGGGGCAAGAATAATATGAATTTGAAATTATTCTTTGAAATTGTTAATTTATTTAAATTTTAAAGAACTGACAACACAAGAAGAAAAAAAATCAATAAATCTAAATGAAGTTTGAGGATAAGAGTAAGATTTAAAAAGGGTAGTCTATGGTGTATTTGGGGAAGGTTATGGAGAAAGAGGAGAAGGGTAATGGTGATTTTCTTTTTCTTTTATTTCTAAAAAAATATATAATTTTTCCTTATTATTTTTTTAGTTATTCTAGGTCCAATACGACGTATTTTTTTTTAATTAGTTACTATGCCACATCACCAGCAAGTGTATAACACACACTCTCTTATTTTAGCTGATTGTCTATAAAGTGTTTGATAGGTAAATTTTTTTATTAGTACGGGTATTCAAATGGAACAAGCCTAAGAAGAGGTGTTTAAGTGAAATTTGCGGACAACTTTAAGTGGCTATCGATGACTTAAGCCTATTATTTTATAATGAATTATAAACTCTCGATCTTTTTTATTTACCTTGTGGATGAAATGATACAAGAAGCTTCATCCATGACAACAACTCAATCTTTTATTGGTCTTGCTTCCTCTTCTAACATCAAATGTTCTCTTTGTATATGCGAAGAATGTGAGCAACAATATTATTATTTTATTAGTCGTGTTAAAAAACTCACTGATATTTTAAAGGAATTGTCTGATAATATTGATGTCCAAGGATCCATGAAGAATTCACAGCCTTTGAAGTGTATGAGGTTGAAAAAATATATTTCCCAAACACTTGATATAATTTGTGAGATGAAAGAAAACGAGAAGAAGAAAATGAAGGAGAAGGAGAAGGAGAAGAAGGAAAATGAGGAGAAGTAGAAGGAGTTGAAGTAGAAGGAGAAGGAGAAGCAGAAGGAGAAGGAGAAGGAGAAGCAGAAATAGAAGGAGGATAATGAGAAAGAGAAGGAGAATCAGAAAGAAAAATCCAAAGCAAAAATGAAAGAAAAAAAAAAGTCAAGGTCGTCATTTGTGATGTGAAGTGACAATATCCATTTGAAAGTTTTAACATTGTCAGCGAGGGTCCAACTGAACTAATGTTAGCGTTCTCGCAATGGATAAATGTGGGTCTTTACAAGCATCATGCAAAAAGTAAAGTCATTAAACTATTATTTGTATTTCTTCTTGTTGTCCATTAAATAACTCTTTATAATAATTACATACTTGCAGAAGGGACAAGGATGATCACTAATTAAACTATCACTCGAATCTTGGTTTTGACCAACTTGATTTTGTAGTTGGATTTCCAATGAATAAGGACTTATTCTACGTAATGTCTCAACCCAATAAGTGATGGACGGATTAATACATGAATATATTCAAATAAATTGATATATAGATACGCTTGTTTGATCCATTTTTTCAGTACGTGGATGTCATTATTTACTATTTGCGCAAGAAGTTGATGCAACAGAGTCATTCCAAATATCAGTATACCATTATTAGTTGTTGTTTCAAAACATATATTGACAATGCTAGTTCTGTTCTTGAATATGAGGATAAAATCGTTGGCATTATGAAAGGGTTTTATTATAGCTTGTGGATTGCCTTGGCACTTGACTGATGATGTTTATGTCCCTGTAAATAGTAATTGGAATTTCCATTGGGTCTTAACAGTCGTTTTATTGAAGGAACAATGAATAAAAGTATATGATTCGATGTCCTCATCTAGGTCTAATAGAAAATTTCCCTCCGAGATTCTGAAGTTGTCTATAATGTTGCCAAAGTGCCTTGATTTAAGCGAATTTTTTATGCAAACAGAGAGAACCGACTAGTTAGTTCTTGAATGTTACCAAGGAAAGAGCAAGTGTCATCCATTCGAAGTCAAATACGTTAATAGTATTGCCTAACAAGAAAGTAGTAGTCTGTAAGTATCACATTATTTTTTTATCTTACGACTATCAAAATGTGATGTTATTATTTCTAATTGATGATATATCATGCAGAGATTGTGGACTTCTTATTGCTGCATACGCTGAGTTTACAAGTGAGGGACTAGAAGTACCATCTTGTGGACTTAGTGCTGAAACCCTTCACATGAGATATGCTTCACTCCTACGGAAGTATGAAATTTTAAAGGCTCGAAATGGCTATGTGAGTAACAATGAAGACCCGCAGAGGCCTAGAACTAAAAAAGCAAAGATTGATGAAAATGTTGTGGTTACCACCATTGATTAGATAGGTGGTTATGTATGTTATTGTGAATTACTTTTTTGTTCATAAGTTGTATAAAACAATTGGTGAAGTGTTAATTTTTATTTATAATATTAATATAAATGATTTTTATGATTATTTCGATTTTGTTAGAATAAATGTCAATTATGATGGAAAGAAAGAAACGTGGTGTTTGTGGCAACATATATAATTTCTGTTGTAGAAAACATCACATAAATATCTGCATGTGTACCAAAAGAAAGGATACATGTGACAACATATTTCAGAGAAATGAGATATGTGGTAAGATACGTCACAGAAAGGATATATATGATCCAACATAACGAATATATGTGACAACATATGTCACACTTTGAATTGTTAAAATTCAAACAAAAATAAAAAATTAGTACAATTGTCCCTTCGTTTCCCTCTCTCCCATCTTCTATGTCGTTTCATATTCCAAATTTTATTTATTTTTACTAATATCTATTTTTTTCTGTTTTTTCTTTTTCTCTCTCTCCATTTTCCCTTCATTCACATATGATTGTTTACTTGCGATATTCCTCCATTATTATCTATGGTAGTCCATTGCAATCCTCTTCTATAACAAAGTGTCGTTGCCCTCATCATTTCTAGTTTATTGTTTATAGCTTCTCTCGTAATATTTAATTAGGGTTTGAAACAATTACTTGTTTTTCAAGTTTTCAATGGATTTATGACTTCTTTTACTTAGTAGTTGTTCTTTTTGAAATATTTCCTAATTTAAAAATGCTTCATTTTTAGTTTGTTTTATAGGGTTAAGCAAGGGTTTTGTTGTTTATTTGATGTTTCATGGGCGACATTGATCGTATTTGTTGTTTCTGTTGTTGTATATTGTGTTGCGTATTGTGTTGTGTATTTCAAAAATCTAAAATTCATTTATAGGTTATGTGTGACATTCAAAAATTTTATTTTTGTGGTTGCAGATTAACAAATATAATTACTTGTGTCAAAACAAAAATTGATACAACTAACATAACAAAGATCCAGATGAAACCTAGGACTAAAATTCCTAGGAAGAATAATGAAAATAGCACTCTTTTAGAAAAACTTGCATCTGAAGCATTTTCATCTTCTCAAGTAGAATCAAATTTTTCTCAAAAAAAATATGAAGAAAGAGAAAAATAAAAAATAAAGTTGTTGATGATGGAGAAAAAGCAAAAGAAGTTGAGGAGGAAGATAAAGGAGAAAATAGAGAAGTTGTTGAGAAAGAAGAGGAAAAAAACCAAAAGTTGAGTAAGAACAAGGAAAAACACTAGAAATAGTAAAGGTGGGAGGAGGAAGAAATAGAGAAGTAGTTATGCATGAAGAAGAAAAAATAAATGAAGTTGATGAAGAAGAACAAAAACTTCATGCAGTTTGCAATGCTACTGATGAAGATGGATTAAAATTACCGGCGCAGACAATTTCCTTGTGCATCTGCAACCTAATGCTAATGGTGCTAAAATTATTAGGTCACTCTTGGGAAAATCTCTTAACAACTTCAGGGCTATCCTCAAGAGAAATAATTTGGAAGATTTTTGTAAAAATAGTTGTTTCTGTCATTTTCTTGATTAACCCAATGATACAACTGCATGTTTTCAAATGACCATGGTTTATGAACTTCTGAAAAGTAGGATCATTTTTCAAAATCCCAAAAAGAAGAATGAGATTGTAATTAATTATTGTGGCATGCCTGTCTTTTTTGACATAAGAGAGGTTTCCATAGTTACAGGGTTAAAATTTCATCCACCTCTTGAGCCCATCCCTGAACACGTAAAGAACCTCGAAGAAGAAAGAAAGGAGTAAATGAAGAAGCAGGACAACAATCACTGTCAACTGAGGAGCAGGATTTGATGTCCCTTGTTGGAAAAAGCTTCAAAAATTCTGACTTAATATATTTGTTGGAACACGAGGATACACCAAGGAAGCACAAGGATTCATTGTGCTTACTTTGGTTAACACATAATATACTTTTGCCGAGAGATTACAACAAAAACATACAATTTAAATGAGTGAATTTCTGTCAGGATATTGAGTCTTTCAACAACTACCCTTGGAGTAATGAGAGCTTTGAATTAAATGTCGAATACTTGTTTAAACCTCTAAGAGCAAAGACCAGTAACTAGTTTGGCTTTCCATGGGCTTTCATGATAAATATAAATGTTCTTAATATTTTTATATTATATTGAATAATTAAACATTTAATTTGTGACATGTTTTCCTTTTTTATAGGCTTGGGAATTTGAAGTCATTCCTCATTTGACCTATCAAGTAATTGCAGAAGAACATATCTCATCTCCAAGGATATTGATATGGTTGAGATCAAAAACAATATCTACCAAAGATGTGTATATTCCAGATCTTTTTAACCCTCCTCTTGATGTCGTAAGTTTTAGTATATTACACTATTATGTTGCTACAAATGATTGTTATGTTCCTAAAGATGATTCATCTGTTGCAACATGTGCCAGAAATGTTGCTACAGATTTCCATATCTGTCAACCTATCACACATCTGTTTAAATATATGACACATATGTTGCAAAATATAACCCATCTGTAGGGGCATCTGACTCATGTGCCACAAATGTTGCTACAGATTCCCATATGTGTCAACACATCATACATCTGTAGCAATATATGACACAATGTGGCAACATATCTACCATATGTAGAAACATATGACACAAATATTCTTACGGATGACTCATTTTCTAATTTTAGGTTCTGCATTAATGGCTTGTCCCAGCAGAAATTGCAAATTTCATGTTTAATTACTCTAGGGTTGGTAGAAACCTTATTTGATCCTGTTGTGGATAGAGTTAAAATAGAATTAGATGGAGCAATCAAAGAGACAGAGTAGTTAATAAATTAGTTATTTTTTATGGTATTGATGCTAGTGTTGTTGTTGGTGCTGGAAAATACGAAGGGGCTACCTCTTGTAGAAGATGATGTGGCTTTCTTTGTGAGAATTGCAAGAAACAAGATGAAGATTATGCCATGTATCTTTAAACATTGAGTCAAGTTGTCAATGAATTTAAAAACCAGATGGGGTTCAAGGTCATTCTATTAAAGAATGTTCGGCATCCATATACTCCACAAGAAAAGAGGAGGAAAGAGTCATTTTCCAAGACAATACAAAATCTGAAGAAGAAGATGTTTGGAGAATCGCAAAGGGTCATAATAGAGGAAGTCAAGGAGTACAAAAAGTTGAATATTTGTAAGTGCGTTATTGTAGTTGAAAGAACCAAAGTATTGAGTATGACGAGTGCAAAGGATGTTCGAATAGAATACGACATGCATACTTTTACAGGACAAGATTTCAGGAAAATGACAAGCATAAAAGTTTGGTGGGAAGACTGAGTAATCCTTCAATTCATAATGCACATTTGTTTTATCTTTTCAATGACTACTCTTCTTTAATCTTTAATAGTTTTTAAGTATATTGAAGAAATCCTTAACCTCATGCGTCAGAGGCATGAAAATACTCAGATTACTATGTTCCCACAGATAGAATCCTGGATCTCAACTTCTATACCAACTTCCTAAAAAGATATGAAGAACTGAGCGTTGAGGCAACAAGTGTTGGTGGAAGAAACATTAAACAATTAGTAGATAAGTTTAAATGGAATGAAGATATGATTGACTATGTCAGGGGCATTAGGCCATATCCTAGAGGCATGGATTAGATTGGTGCAAAAAGGACTTGGACAGTCATGAACATGAACAATACCCATCACGTGACTCTCAAGATAATTTTGCACTAGGGTCGCATGAATGTTTATGACTGTTAACTGATGGATATGGAATATTCCAAGTTCTTGACATACATAAAGACTATCTTCGAGTTGCTGCCTAAATTATTGAAGTAGAGTGGAATAATGAATCATTTGCCAGAAAAGTTTCTCAATGAACCATGGGAATTTAAAGGTCGATTGGATCCTATGGTAAAAAATGAAATTGAAGCGGCGTGCGGGTCATATTCCCTTGCATTCATTGAGCATTTGGTTAGAGGGATGAAAATTCAACCACCAAAAATCCTGTTGTGGCAATCTAGTTGAACGAATGCAATGGGTTTGGGTTTATGGGATAATTTCTCGGAGCTTAAAGCCTTGAAAATATGTTTCTAATTAAAGACGATGTTTTATTTTATCACTTATACGATTTTATTTTATCTTATATTGAGTGCAAGCACATAGTATGTGATGTGGATAGTTCTCATATGAAGCAACACATGTCTCAAATGGTCAAACATTGCTACATAAGGGTCATTTATAGCGATATTTGAGGAATCTGTAGCCACATATGGATCAAATGGTCAAACACTGCTAAATAAGGGTCATTTGTAGCAACATTTAAGGCATCTATAGCAACATATGGATCATATGTAGCAACATCTGCCTCAAATGGTCAAACATTCCTATATAAGGGTCATCTGTTGTGACATATGTGATATATGTAGCAACATATGGATCATATGTAGCAACATATGGATCATATATAGAAACATATGTCTCAAATAATCAAACTTTGCTACATAAGGGTCATATGTACCTACATATGTGATATATGTAGCGACATATGGATCATATGTAGGGACATATATCTTAAATGGTCAAACATTCCTACATAAGGTTCATCCGTAGCTACATATGTGATATATATAGCAATATATGGATCATATGTCACGACTTTAAAGTACCCCCTAGAAGATGGATCAACCCTTAGGTCAGAACAATTGCATACTTGACCCTTCATAGGTCAAGTACTAGTCTGGTATCCATAATTCATCGTATAAGACATGAAAAGTAGTATGAAATTGAAACTTTTCACGAGATAAATAATAATAATAAAATATATTTCATAAATACTAAAGATTATTCTCATCTTCACAAGCCAACATAAAGACACAACTTAAGTATCTTGGGACACGCCCCTTTACATTTAAAGAAAATACATAATATGTCTTAATAGAAAAAACTAAAGAAATAAAGACTATGC